ATTCATCCGAATGCCATTCGAATGCCATTCGCCACCAACTGCCTTCGCCAGAACTCAGTTGACTGAGAAATGCCTACTTTCGACGACACAGCTCGCGAAGTGCGATTTACCTGAAAGTATATAAAACAAATCGTATTGAGCTAAAAATGAAATTTTCCCGTCTTTTATTTGCACTAAAGTCTTAAAAAGATGCTTTGAACGTTATACGAAGAAAATCAAGTATTGATAATGAAACGCTTGTCAATTTTAGTGTCTATTTACGCTGTGGATCTGACTAGTGTTGGCTTAGGTTGCTACGGTCGGCTGCAACGTTGTAAAAACAAAGCAAGAAACTAAAACTTAGGACAGCGTAATACGCTTATTTCTACATTTGATGATTATCTGATGTGTATGAAGCTTGTAAATGCTTCTTAATTTTTTTATTGCTATTCACTCAATGCTCACTTGGAAGGTGCTGTGATCGACATCATCAAGTCAAATGTCATTCGCTTTGGACGTGTAGCAGCGCCGGCGAAACGAATGTCATTCGGGAACTGAAGGCCTTCGCCACCAAATGTCATTTTCTATGCCCGTGTGGCACGGGTATCACCATGTTACACTACGTTAAGCGGAAACCACGCCTACGAGGTTCGAGAAGCTTAGAGGCTGTAGTAGATCGTTTTGTTAAGATTACACCCACTTCGTAAACATCACAGATTATACGGGAACCTACATCGCCGCTAGCAATAACGCTAGAATATTCGATGGCAACAGTATAAATGCCGACAAGACTTCGCCGCTTGTCAGTTGATCGACAGCTGGTTCTCTGCTCGCCGTTACGAGTGGCAGTGTCTCGCTGTAATCAAACTTTCCTTTCACGTGGCCACAAGTTCGGTCCGAATAAACAGTTTATTATTCGACCTGCAGTTTGCTCCCTTAATCAACGTCATGAGCACGACCCCATGACATCTGGCGGAGGTGCTTCCTGTCCATGTACCGAACACCACCCTCCAGTCGAGAGCCAAGCCCCAACCGTGAACCAAACATCCCCGCCAACCTCGACCTGCGAGCAAGCCGCCGGCAACAAGGGGCTACCTTTGGAGTACGGGGTTCTACTTAATAGCAGTTGCAAGCCGAAGGCGACTACCACTACTGCGTCAACTATATATGACAGACCCTGTACCAACGCCCTTCTTGGTCGTAATGCAGCAGCCAAAAGAGCCACCCACCCATTTTCCACGGATCTTCATTTGAAGAACCAGAGCCCTGGCTCGGGATGTACGACCGAGTGGCAGCCTTGAACTAGTGCAGAACAAAAGCTGCGCCGCGCCTACTTCTATCTGGAAGACGCGGCGAGTACGTGGTTCGAGCCTCTGGAGTCTGCACTTCACTCCTGGGATCTCTTTCGCGGTGCATTCCGGAAACTTTCTTGAGCATCCCCCGCAAAAAAAAAAAGGGGGGGGGGGGCGCTGCTTTGCTGGAGACCCGGGTACATCTACCGAAAATGTCACTATCTTCACGGAAGAGATGCGGAAACTGTTTCAGCATGCCGATCATGCCGGCTGAGGACAAGGAGCTGCGCTTCCACATACGGGGTGTGAAGCAAGAGTTGTTTGCGGGACTTGTTCCCAAACCGCCCAACACTGTTGACGAATTCCTCACTGATACCATGATAATAGCGAAGGCGCTTGAGATGCGCACAAGGCAGTATGACCGTCGCTCTTCAAGAGCCAACTACTCCGAAGCTCATGCCCTCAGCGCGTACAACCTGGGTGAGACGATCCGAGAGATCGTGCGGGAGGAGCTAAGGAGCCTGTTGCCTTCGTCGCAGCTCCAAGTGGATTGGTTTGCCGACACTGTCCGCGAAGAAGTTCGGCCATCGCTTGGAGTTTCCAAAGCTCCGCAGCTTCAGCTGCAAGCGATGAGCTACGCTGCTGCAACCCGACGTTACGATTCCCCATCACGCCCTCGTCAAGAGGCCGCACCGTCGCAGTTCTGTCCGCAGCCACCGCCATCGTCGACACCATACTGTCCACCCACCAGCCAGCGCAACGCTCCGAGGAAAACCGACGTGAGACATGCCCCCCGACCGCCGACCTCTCTGCTACCATTGCGGAGAAGCAGGCCGCACCTACCACCGCTGCCAGTACTGTAAGATGAGACTGAGTGGTTTCGCTGTAGATGCGCCTTGATTGATATGTGGGGTTTAACGTCCCAAAACCACTATATGATTATGAGAGACGCCGTAGTGGAGGGCTCCGAAAATTTAGACCACCTGGGGTTCTTTAACGTGCACCCAAATCTGAGCACACGGGCCTACAACATTTCCGCCTCCATCGGAAATGCAGCCGCCGCAGCCGGGATTCGAACCCGCGCCCTGCGGGTCAGCAGCCGAGTACCTTAGCCACTAGACCACCGCGGCGGGGCTGTAGATGCGCCTGTCCTTAATGTGCTGTGCAATAAACAGTACTGTAACTGTAGCAGATGTTTCAGAAAATGGTCACAACTGAGGCACAGTCAGCCCAAGTCACGTAATTAGCGCTTATTGTTGCCTGTCCACCTCAAAATAGTAGCGGTTGGCTTGACTTTAATAAATATATTTAATATGTACGGACATCGAGCTTTTCAATGATATATATAATTCAACTATATAAAACAACGAGAACAGCCGCTACGTCAGTAAGAAAAGTGGGAAAAACAGTGTGTTCGTGCCGCCGGAGTGAGGAGCGAACATTTTTCAACCGTATTCTTACAAACGGCTGTCACAATCTCTGAAAGGGGTCACAGCAGCTTACTCTCAGGGCCCCATTGGAGCATGGAAATCCGCCCCCCCCCCCTTTCCATATATTGTTTATTGCAATGGCATTCAAAGCACAAAATGACACTCTACCATATCTAACTGCGCGATACCACCTTGAGATCAAAGAATTGCCTCCACCCTCCCCCCGAAATAAATTTCTGCCCGCACTCCTGCATCCAAATAACCGCAGCCCCTTTGCAGAGTTTACTTGCAGGTTTTATAGTTAACAAGCTGACCATGTGCTCGGGTTATTATGACAAAGATTCTCATTAGTGAGCGAAATTATTGATATACAAATTCATAGTGCGACTTAAACTTGAATACACATACTTTATATCGCATTCATGGCACGTTTCGCTAAGGTGCGGGTATTAATCAAGTCACAAAAGCGGCACGCGTCGCATAAGGTTTTATTATTTTCGTCTTGTTAGTGTTAATTAGTTAGGCACTTTAACCACTTTAGTTAGTTCATCATTGATTATCTTGAAACTTTGTTTGCGAGGTCTCGTGCTTCGACGGAAATTCTGTTCTCGGTCGGCTTGATATTACAAATGGGAACTTAATGAACAATATACAATTTGTACCTCGTCCGCGATATATTTTATCACAGATTGATTGTTTTTTTAAGATCAGCAAGAGGATTCACCGTAATATAGAGCCTACCTCAATTTCATCATCCTGCGTATCAACACCAAACGGAACTTGCACCCCCTCCCCCCATTGGTATCACCGACAGTACCAAGTCCTAGGAAGAGCGCCATAAAAGCGCGTGTGATTATAATCTTCCATGCAATATCATGTATGGGCCGTGGGAGCACCACCGATCAAAATCTCCACTAAAGAACCATGAAGCGCCTGTTCCTAACCTCTGCAAAGGAGTCGTCCCAGCTGTATTTCGTTTCATTTGCAGGTACTTGCTCTCTACTAATGTGAAATATGAACGTATTTCAAAATAAAAGTTTGACGCCTCTTACTGAAACATTGTCTCTGGCAGAAAATTGACGCAAGAATATGCCCTAAAGTATATATGCCAGAGCATTAATTTAATATTTTCAATCACCAGTGATACAAGCCCGCTTCTGTGTGGTGACGTCTGAGTATACCTTTCGTTATTTTGCGAGCATTCTGGGTCATCGTAAATGGTATCGATCTGACCTGCAAATTGGGACGGCTTTAAGCTCTCCCATAGTAGAGTAAGAAGTACTCTAAATTGTTATACCCCTTTTTCTAAACCCCCCCCCCCCCCCCCCCCCTGCGAATCCTTGGATGGCTGTATGCTCTCCCATAATAGAGTACCAACTGCTCTAATTCGTTAACGTCTCTCGCGGAAGTCGCATCACAATCGAACCAAGAGACATCCTTCGGAATGTACATGTGTAAATAATCCCCGCTGTAGCTTACTTCTGCCTCGTTCAATGATGAACATCTTTCAGTCATGATAATCTTGAGCCAGACAACGGTCATCATAACAAGATCACCTGTTATTTTTATCAATTTGTGTGTAGTTTCTCTAGTTAGCAGCCACTCATTCCTATTACTCTCTACCACCCCACCAACAATAACTGTCTCTCGAAGAGGACACCTCAACCGGAACACGCAAGGAAAGGGAATGAAAAGGTAACAACTAGAGCGGGGGAAATACGCAAAGTGATGGGGGTGCCCGATTCCCTTGTGCCACTTATGATGTAACGCAGCTCAAAGCACTGCTTGAGTGAGAAGCTAGGTGGATCCGTGCAAATTCCGATTGACATTTTTTTTTTTTTATTTTGTGGGTCGGCAGGCTCTTGAAACAGTGAATGTATAGACGCAATTTCGGCGTGCGTGCATATTCACTCGTGCACCATTGCACGTAGCTGGTGCGTCCACTGATAAAGGCCCATAAACGCATTAAATGCGCTAAAAACGAGCAATTACACGCTTTCGCAGGCTCGGGCGCGCGCGATCTTCAGTACCATGGGACTACAGTGGCGCCGCTACTGTCACCCGCCGGAGAATCAGCCGAGATGTATATATATATATAAAATGCTTTCTTAATCATTTTTTATTTAAATAATGTTTCTCGTGTTAATTTTACGTCAGAAAATTTATAATATGGTGCTGAGGGTTGTGAGTATGTCACTCATAGTTTATTATAGGTGTTCTGCGGTTTATTGTTAAAATGGTAGCTCGGCAACCAGGGACCATGTAGTAGAATGTTTTGTTTCCGTTTTTCAAACGTCCCGCTTTGCCCCGCTGGTATTTGACGCACGCATTATGCGTATATGGGGCGGAGTGTTATCAGTTGTTTAATATTGTGCACCCGTGGATCGTTAGGAGCACTTGACGTGTTGCTAGCTCGACATGTTGCTTTCAACGACGGTGTCTTTGAACTGACAGTAGTGCTAATGACCAGCGAATTGCTGACTGGGTACGTGCTCGTATTCGTTCCATGCTCAGTAGAAGTTGTACTACTAATAGTAACTGAAGGGATTGCCCCCTGCTTATTTTCTGTCGCTGGTCTTCTGTAGCTTCCTTAATTAATTGCTCGTTTGTTCGCGTTATTTTGCGCCGTACCCGACATTTGTGAACAAGATACACATGGTCTTTTTGGCGGTCGTTCCTCTGCCGCTGGTAGAGCCAGCTTTTATAAAACTCGCGCATGACGAATTTTTAGACAGTGCAGCCATGCGACATGCAGGTGTCTTAAAGAGAGGGCCCTTTGTGATGCCGTGTTAATGACTGAATGCAGAACCTTCAGTGCCAGTCTAGCACTTAGCAGCTGTGGTTACGTTCATGCAGTGCCGGTTTTAAACTTATAATAAAAAAAAAACAAGGAAAAAAAAACACCAGATTCTTGTGCAAACCCAATAGCAGGCTCAGAACGTACGTCTATATGCCTTCCATGAGGTCTTTAGGCTCTGTCATTCGCCACAATTAATGCCCACTTTTTATGTTACCTACCATAATACACTTCATTCGGGATTTCAAGACCATGGGGCAATATTTATGCTATAAAAGTAAGAATTGATCATTTACAGAAATTTGCAAGCCTGCTTTCTTGAAAGTTTTTTTTCAGCCAAAAACTCGTGCACAGCCTGCTTCTCTCGCTCACTATGCCTTTACCACTCCTATTCCAGTGAAGACACACGAGTATGACAAAATGATTTTCCCCCCCAACAATTACTATCTGGTTGTCCCGCCTGGAACGTATGGTGGTGGTGGTGTTAGTGGTTAGAAGATGAGAAAAGGCACCTAATTTCTGCAACCTGGTCCGGAGCACGGCGCAGTGCCTTGTATGGTGGACGAGGCACCTGTCTGTAAAGAGGGTAGAGGGGGGGGGGGAAGGCAAGAACACAATGAGTGAGAAAAGCAGTCTATGAATGAGATCTTTTGGGTTGGAAGACAACTTTACAGGAAAACCACCTTGCAGATTTCTGCAAATGTTCAGTTGTTTCACGCTGTGTTGTCAACATACACTTAATGTTCCTACATGTTTCTATGTGTAATTAGTAGAGGCCAGATTTCTAGGCACTAAAAAAAGCACGATTTAGGCTCCGCAAATAGGCCTGCAAAACACATTTTTGGCCTCGATCGTCGGAAATGTAGGTGTAATAAAATTTTAAATAATTATATGCAAATAATTAAAGAAAAGTACATGAACGAGCTGTATATATGACAAGTAAACAGAAAAAATATATGAAGGCATAAAAACCAAGGATAGCCGTGCAACTGTCTTTTTTTTTTTTTTTTTCAGCCTTGTTCGCAAAATATGGTGTTTCCTGTAGCATAGCGAGTCAAGCATGCACTGTTGAATTGACACACTTCTGGGTCTCTTTTAAGTATGGCTGTGAAGGGAAGCACAGGAACAGATAGCTAAACCATTTAAAGACCAGAAAGGAGGGTTGCCTCGTATTTCTCCCCTGTCAGTGAACACCTTACGAAGTAAATTAGAAACCTAATGAAAGCTGCATGAACATCAAATTTTTCTTTTCTTTTAGTCTTCACGCTCCTTTCTCCTGATGACTCGCCACGATTTATTTCCAAACCGCTCGCGCCATGTCAGCATGACGGCATATAGTGACTGGCACTTTCCACTTCACTGCTACTAGCGGCTGTTTTCTGTAAGTTGGTTGAACAAAAGGACTCAGGCTTGCCGTGTTGGTCTAGTGGCTAAGGTACTCTGCTGCTGACCCACAGGTTGCGGGATCAAATTCCGGCTGCGGTGGCTGCATTTTCGAAGGAGGTGAAAATGTTGTAGGCCCGTGTGCTGAGATTTGGGTGTACGTTAAAGAACCCCAGGTGGTCGAAATTTCCGGACTCCTCCACTACAGCTTCTCTCATAACCATATGGTGGTTCTGTGACATTGAACCCCACATATCTAACAAAAGGGCTAAGTTGAATCCTATAGACTTCCGAGCAGTCACTGTTGCCTAGTAACATGAAACACTTCCAAGACTTAAGTTTTGCCTTCAGGAGTAGAAGGCGATAGCATAATCGTGCCCATTTTGCATCACCTTCTCAATCGCTAGCATGGCTCCGCTACATATTGTGGACATCTAAAGTGTGACGCAAGAAAAGGAACGTCTGTGCACTTGCATATTGGCCTTGTCAGACTATACTAGAGTGCCTTCTGCAAGTACAGTTGGAAAGTGCTCACTATTACATAATTCTTACTTTTCCAAGTTGGCACCAAGGGTACCCACTACGCACCCGTAAGGCAAGGCACTCCTGCGCAACTTCACACGCCGTTAATACTGTTGCTGATGATGATAATTAATTATGCCTTTGTGTTTGGAATTGGTTGGTTTTTAAATCAAACACTGGTTGCACAACTTACATGTTTGGATGTCGGGTGGGATTCTATGCTTGTCACATGATATTACATGTAATGACACTCCTTGCAGTACATGACATTCATGTAGTGTAGTGAACCAATTTCAAGCACGGGCGTGGGTTTGTGGTATGAAACCTACTTTCCATGCAGAAGTCTTGAGTTCAGTTTCCATTGGAACTGAAGATTTGTTTGTGTGTGTTATTTCGTTATTTGCATATATCCCTAATTTTCGCTCATGGACAGCACAAATTTTTTGTTCTCAACCGACACCGGAATTTTTGTGAAACGAGCTTTTTAATGTTACTACATTAATATCAAACTGCACTTGAAAGCAAAATCAAACTGTACTGGCAATATCAAATTGCACTGGCAATATCAAACTGCACTCGAAAGTGAAATTTGAGGTTAACTAGCATTCAAATAGGGGCCGAATTTGAAAATGGGCATTTGTAGGTGGTATAAGAACATTAAAAGCTCATATTAATTTCTAATTTATGCTCACAAATCGAAGTCAGGCGATACGAATACAAGGAACAATATAGGCATTGGCTTAAAATCCGGTCTCTAGTAATTAGGTGTGGAATCGTGTAAACCCCCTTCTTACATTTTTTCTTGGTTTCTCCTTTTGTGTGCCTCACACACACACACACACACATAAGATGCGCACAAAACGTTCACTCTCATGTCACTGTGCCTAATAGAAAGGGTAGTTCATGGTGTAGATATAGTGTTGATGAATATAAAATACTTGCATGAGCTGTAAAATTGAGCCTGAGGACAAAAGTTTGTTTTCAATTCCAAACCTGCCGAGACGTAAGTTGGTATAAGTATTAACGACATTGTTGATCTTGCTTGGCATAAACATGTTTCACATGGCTAAGGAACACAGTAAGAAGATAAAGGTCAGTTTTATTAATGTGTGTTGTTTATGACAAATGTGACTGAATTACTTAAGTTATTTTCTGATTGGAAGCTAATAACATGTTAGACAACAAGACTTTTTTTCTAGTCACTTGAACCAAAGCAAAAAAAGTTTGACAAGCTTGTTGGGCATCTGTCATTTACATCCGTAGTGGAGGGCTTCGCTCCGCAGATTGAGGCTGCATACTAGTGTGGCTTCAGATTGATACAGTACCACTTCTAGAAAAATACTGCTGGACCATTCAGTATCCTCTGCGGTATTGCATCTTTGAGCATAGGTGAATAAAATTCTGTAGACATTGGGACTTCAGCAAAAAAGGGTTATTTCTCCATAGTTTTAAACTCGTAACTGCGGCCTGTATGGTAGTGTTAGAACAAACAATTAAGAAATTATGACCAGATTGGATTTGCGATTCCAAAGCAGTATACAGAATATGCATATTACCAGCAATCTTAAGCCAGCATCAGTTTAAAGAAATCTGCCCTATTTTTGATGAAAGCTGAGCAATCTGTGCAACTCTAAATACAATTTTGCTTAATCACTACGAGGGTACAGGGGTTATAGTGCTTGTACAATGCTCGGCTGCGGTCCCGAAAGATGCAGGTTCAGTCCTAGTTGGCAGTCGCATTTTGACAGGGGTGAAATCATAAAAGAGGCCTATGTACTTAGCAGTTTTGTGCAGTAGGAACTGTGTACTGTGCAATCATTGTGCGTGAGTTACATGAAAGCTATCGTATACCTTGCACCACTATTGCACCAGAAAACTATCTCATCTCTGTCTTTTCCATAAAATCCACTACCGTTATCTACATTCTATATTTATTCAGGCACAACCATACATTTCGTCTTGTATTAATAGCCTGGCAGTAAATTTTCCACGCACTAACACAGTCGATTTTTTATATTCATTTCTTTCCCAAATGGGCAAATATTGGGATAACCTACTTGCATCACTTACAAGTGTAAACAACACTAATAACTTCAAAATTACACCTCAGAGTGTCATTTTAAATTCATGTGATTCACAGTTTGTTGTGTAACACCAGTTTTATTGCCTTATTTTTTCTAATCCCTTATTTTTATTTTTATTTTATTTATATAGCAAGCCTCATAAGTTATGTCATGTATGTTTGCTATGCTTATCATGTTTTGTTTTTTTATTTATTGCTTTTTTTGCTTAATATGTTTGTCGTACCTTTGTTCACTGTGTGTAATGAATAATGATGATTGATATGTGGGGCTTAACGTCCCAAAACCACCATATGATTATGAGAGACGCCGTAGTGGAGGGCTCTGAAAATTTTGACCACCTGGGAGTTCGTTAACGTACACCCAAATCTGAGCACACGGGCCTACAGCATTTTCGCTTCCATCGAAAATGCAGGTGCTACAGCCGGGATTCGATCCCGCGACCTGTGGGTCAGCAGCCGAGTACCTTAGCCACTAGACCATTGTGGCGGGAGGCGTTCATTGTGTGTATTCAACGAGCTATTTTTTTTCTAACACTTCCTACATGACTATTTTGATTGTTTTTAGTATTCTCATAGCATTTTTAGCTTATGCTATTGTGATTGAGTTTTAAATGTGTTGTATTCTGTATTTGTTAATTTTGTATACATGACAGTTTTTATTATATGTGCCTCCCCTCATCAGTATACGTTTCTATTCTGA